TATTTATTTTTTATTAGGAGTTTGTCAGTTTCAAAATGCTTAATGAGGAAAGGCTTTTAAAAACTGCCTAGCACCTACTAGTGTGAAACGTGGTTGTGCCCATTGATGGAATTGTTAATATCGAGGCTTCTGGTGAAATCAGGAATTGAAAGAAAATGACAAATCATTAATTCTGATCTTTCTTTAGTGATGTTATTAAATATGCGGTATCAAAATAATGTGCATTACATTTTAATATGCTGTAAAAGTTTATTTTGTGAATTCTGTATAACAAAACCTTCCTAAGAATTATGATTTGTAATTAACTGAAATGTGAAAATTCAATAGACTCAAAAAATTAAAATTATTTAAAAATGAATTCTCTCATTTCGCCTCTACTTAAATGTATTCAATTGGTAAGCAAATATGTAATGATATTATATGCATATAGTAATGATTAATATTACATTGATTAATGTAAATAACTGATGATATGTGTATTAACATAGTGAATGTTCGCTTTTATGAAGTTCTAAGCATTACTTTAAATACCATTCATAAAACTTTTATCTCATATATACAAACATGACAATATCTATTGAGTTTTCGTTTATTCTTTGGAATGTATGAAAGTTTAAATATTTTTTTTTAATTTAATGTAGATTGGAGTAAAATATCTGTATCTTTCTTCATTTCAATCGGTAATATCTGTATGCTGGTAAAGGTACGTATGTTCGTAAGAATTATACTGTGTCACATTTTTGACAATCTTCTTTCATTCATATTAGCTAATAAGAGAATTATTGAAGTTAGTAAAGTAATGAAAATCAACGTTATTGAAAGAAAACTCTAAAAGCATTTACATTTCCAGAAATATATCAAAGTTCCTTTTCTTAAAAACAGCAGGTGTATCGTAGTTTTTATTTCTATTTCATTAAAAGCTGAACTTGTAAAATAAAAATTTTCTATTAGTGTAAGGTAAACAAAAAAAAAAAAAAAAATCAAGAGACAATCCGTATCATGAATGAAATTCAAGTCTTACATCGGATTAAAAAGAAATATTCTGAATCTAAATGTTTATGCCTATTTAGCACAAAATGCGTTTATTTGTGTTATAAATTTAACTAAAACCATTCTTATAACAGTATGTTGCCTTTAAACTGGGTAAAAGTGTTAAGTATATTTTCTGATGGTATTGATATACTTGTCAAAGAAGTTCTAGAAACCTCAAATGTCGAAAGAGCATATGATAAGAATCTCCTTTCCTATCGCTACGTCAGTTACAGGTTAAGGGGTGGCTTGAATGGATAAAGGTAATGTTTGTGCAAAAATATAGTAGTTCTATTTTGAAATGAGAAATAATTCGCTTTTTGTCAATTAAGGAAACTTGTGGTATTATTAAACAGAATGTCAGTGAAAGACATTGCGTTTGCATAGTGAATTATGAAGGTACTGAAAGGTAGTAAAGAAGGTGAATGAAAGAATTAATTTGAACAAATAAGGTAAGGCTATCATTAAAAGAAAAAAAAACTGTTTAAAAGATGTATGTTAGAATTAAAAGTAAGATGTTAAAATTTAAAAAGATGTAACAGAGTAAAACCAAAGAATACTGGTAATTCCCATCTGGAAAACAGTAATTTGAGTACGATATTGAAAAAGTTGGTTTTAAGAATTTCTTTATGCATGTGATGCAAAACAATTGCTAGTTTATCATGAGTGCTGACATAGATGCAATTAGTGCAGGAAAAATAGTAAAATTAGTATAGTTAGTGTCTCTAAAACATGAAAAAATAATAGTGTGAGCAGTGTAAATTCATTTGAAGTACTGAAATATGACATAGACTAAATATCAGAAATGTAAGAAATATTTTGGTATGTGTGGATGAAACACTGAACGTGGTTGTAAAATTAGAAATGAAAATTATCAACACACTTAAAGGTAATCGGGATTTAAAACTAAACATGATGTTAGAAACTTTGAAGACCATAAAACTATATGAGAAAAGAAATACATTTAGATATAAATGGTATTAAACTGTAAAGTTGTGAATGGAAATTTCTGAGTAAAACCTGTAGATGATCTATTATGATCGGAGAATAAAACAAGTATTTATAAAAATTGTAAGGAAATATTTGAATATGGAGTAAATGAAAACAATCCATATCGTTAAAATGAATAAAAAGGGATAAAATGTTGGAATTACGAGTGATGAGACAGAAATAAAAACATTATAATAAATAAGTTAAACTAGAATTAAGAAATATAAACACAGAAGGGAAATCATGAACGTAAGAAAAGCAATTAACAGTTATAGACTTAAGTTTAAAAAAAAAATATTCGGTAATGTAAGGAAGATATTGTTAAACATGTGAAAGAAATTAAAAATTCTGTAGAAAATTTAGTAAAAGAACTAAGATCACGAAAAATAAACGTTTCTTTTTTAAATACAATTTCAATACCACTAAGTTAAAGTGTGTATAGAATACTAGAATGGTTTAAAAAAAGTAAATGAAGTTAAAATTCAGAATATATTGAACATTATAACGTTAAAAAAAGTGTGAAATTGCATCTAAAATTAAGTAATGTAACAAATAAACAGCATGTGCGGGAACGTTTGTGAAATATAATATATAAGTTAAAAATCAGGGTATGCTGAAATGGTATGAAGGGTATGAAAAAAATAGTATGTGGAAATTAAATAAAATATTACAAATTAGAAACGTTAAGTATTAAAAAAATATGACAGTAAATGAATATGTTATTATGAACAGAAAACCTGAGAAATAAGTTAAAGTTTCATGGAAAACTAGAAAGAATAAAAGTATCAGAATAAAATTGAGTAATAAAAAAAAATCTTGTAGTTTCATTAAAGGAAAGTCTTTTTTTATATTTGTTTCTTTTACATTGTTTTCAGAGTCGCGCATTGAATAATTTTAACACCAGACTTAAAAAATATATTTCTAAAACATACAATTCACTTTTTCATTAATAGAGGGCAGCATCGCTATATCATCAAAATTAAGATGCAGAAAATATTTCCCGTTGCCAATAAAAAAAACTAACTTTAAATGAAAAGCAGGAGGTCTACAACTCAATCAGAAGTCTACCAACAACTCAACTCCACTCGTGACCACGCCTCCTAATGTGATGACGTTGCCTTTGGCCCCGCCCTCTGTGATGTCATTGGCCACGCCCCCTGACCCACCTGATGCAGAACGCCCATTTTCATGCTACTGTAGACAGCACGAGACCTAAGAGTTTTGAAAATTTCCACATAAACATTCGTACAAGTGTTCACAAAGTGCAATCAGTAATTACACTTCAAACTACGAAGGACGTTAAACACAATGCAATGCAAAGCGCATCTAAAGAGAAAGCTAATCCACTGTCACGCTAAATTAACAACTCGCAAAATTAACAGCAAATAGGAGCAGATTCTCTCTCTTCGGCCTTATATAGTTTTCACCAGGGCGCCGAGCTATTTCTAACATTTTGTGCTTTTCGAAATTACTGGAATGTAGAAAATCAGGGTGGAATTACGGTTGCAAATAAAGTGATCAATTATATTTATTCAATTATAATACCTAAATTAATCAGACTGAAAATTAATCAGGGTCGAATTACGGTTGCAATTAAAGTGATCAACTAATTTATTCAATTATAATACTTATTACGGTGCTACAGGGAGCGGACCAAAATGTCGCCAAGTTTGGGGACTTTAGGCGAACTCGCCAAATTTCATTGCCCCTGTATTGTTACTTTTCCGGCATTGAGTCTCTCTTTAGATTTTCCACACCCACATTATAGAGACGAATACAAGAATTTCACATATAATTGCAACTAAAATAATCTATCTATATACAAAATTTGTAACACTATATTTCTTTATTTGGGGTAGACAGCTAGTGGCCTAAGGTCAGCAAAAATAAAGATCAGTCCTGTTGACAACTGAATTCATCTTGGACTTAGAAAACGGCCGCATACAGAAGATTCATAATTCTTGAAGAAGACCAGTCATAGAGGAAGTATTATTAAACAGGGTCTGTTAAGAAATCGAAACAGGTATAATTAAATCAGAAAATAAAGAAAGAACTACGCTACTGCACTCTACTGACTACTTGTTTTCATTTGTGAAATTCTGAATTTTTAAAATCAACAGGGCAGGACAGAGAGCAGTGGGAGCGATACTAGACAATCATCAATGATTTTACAGATATGGTCTCTGGACACTTACTGTTCAGCTCCGTTTGACGGATATCATCCTCCGTGAGTTGCCCTGTCACGAAATGTCTCGAGAGGATTTTTGAATCGCCACGTGGCCTCTTATGGCACAAACGGTATTATCCAAGCCTTTTCCAGAATTTGAACACGGGCTCAAGGAAACAGCAACCAATGTCTCGCTCAAAGTAGAAATCTTTTCCAGCGAGCTAAAATATATTGCTGGTATAGAATTTGAACTTACCTAATACTTTCGCGGCTTAAATAATTTATTCACTACATTCAGTTTTTAAAGGTAAAGCTATTAAATATTGGTTCTATGAATGAAAGCACTAATTCTTACTGCTATCAAGTACTTGAAAACTAGCATATTGAAAGAATTAACTATCTACTCTCTTTCAAGATCTTTAAAGAAAATAGATGTATTCTGTATGGTGCCGTTGAAGCAATACGTTGCATGTGATGGATAGGTTGACTTTGTTCTTTTCGGACAGATTATGGGGAACTCAAACACATGCTTTGCTTATTTTTCCTAGTCTGCTTTATAAGTTCTTGGGATGGTCGACCAAGGTTGGTTAAGAGTGTTTGACATGGATTTGTTTCCACTTCTGCCTTTAGCATGTTGTTGTCGACATGCGCAGAAACGACATTACTTTCCAGTCCCCCTATTATTACCTTAATCACAGAAATGTATAATAAAAACAATGCAAAATGCAATGAATTATTTTATCATTTATATAAACGAGAACAGGAGAAACCTTAAAAAGAAAAATCCTAAATAAGGCAGCCTTCTGAGCTTTTCAATAACAATGATAACAAAAGCATTGATTATATCACACAATTCTTTCCGTAATGCTGGGACATCAATAGAAATTTTAAACAATTTTTATGTCCACGTTTTAAGCATGCTTTTCTCTACTATGGGGTAATATCAGTTTGGCCTTTTTCTGTTGTTTGGTAATCTATGGAACGTATTTTCATTACAGTATCTTTCAATGAGTAGTAAAGTCCTCTAAATTCTTTCCATTCTATGCCATTAGAAGGAGATTCATGTGGTCCTTTCAAGTAAAAGCCATTCAGGTTGGAGGCGTGACATTTTCTATACCACCAACCTCCTTTGTAAGTGACAGCACAGCTTCCTTCGAGAATATCATTATCTTTGTCTTTGGTACTAAATGGAACACCGTTTACGTAAGAGAAAGAATCACCTGCAAGAAAATTTAAAATTAAATACAGGAATTTATTCAGGTAAAAGTGACCATGTCATTTGTGGAGGGCCCTTCAGTTTCAAACTAAATGAATGGTACTGCGTGCGAGTAAAACGTTATTTGGCGTCAATTTTATTTAAAATCACTCAAATGAAATTCAAATTCATTCTAATTCATTACTTGGTAATCCAAGTTTTGTAATTCTTAAAAAAAAAAAAAAAAAAAAAAAAAAAAAATATATATATATATATATATATTATTATGAAATTTTTATTGAATTTCGATAAAATGACCGGAATCCTCTTTGTTAATGTCTTCATAAATCTCATTTATATTCCTCGCGAATGAACTTCTTGCCACTTTCCTAGATGTGATGATCTTTTCCACATTTACGATTCACGTCTTGTCGTCTAGGAGGCCAGATATTGGAAAACTACGATAATCTATTTTCGGCAAAACAAACTACCGAGTCATGTGGCAAGAAAAAGTACTCTTCATACCAGTAATAAAAATATAAATTTATTTAAGGAAAATGTCAGGTTCGTTACAAGTTACAACCGCTACCTTACGAGAGAAAAATAGAACATACTATTGCCAATCCGCTGCGGCCACATATTGGCATTAAAAGGTTTGGCTCGTCAATAGCCAACAGCTTATAGCATTGTATTAATTTCATTACACTTCAGTTGGTGATGCACTACGTTTTTAAATGCTAGTCCATGCCTATCTCAGTGAAAAGTTACGCAGCGGATAGATTGGCCAAGCAGGCAATTAATCGATTAGACTCTAGTTGGGATTACCGGAATTAACTAATGAAAACTCTTCATTAAATGTCGATGTTAAGGACCAAGTTTCTTTGCTGCAAATTCACGAGATCTAAAGAAGTTGAAATAGTACATTACTGCGTTTTAACTTCGATGGACTAGATAATACTGGAACGTGGCTGGGACAATCTGTAGATAAAGTTATACCACAAAGGGAGATTCGAGATTTTGCAATGATTGCAAACAGCTTCGAACACTATTTTCCCATGCCTTTAAACAATGTTATCCTTCCCTTTGGGGTATGAAGCAATAAAACCTTCCTAAAACATTATGACCTAACATTCAATGGACTAATTATAAATAAATTAACAAGTGTAAAGTAATGTGTGGCCTACTGTATGTTCAAGTCTTTCTATTACAAATAAGAATGAAAGCTACATTTCCAAGGTTATTTTTAGTAATTATTAAAATATGCATTACATACCGTGCTCTCATTTTGCTTATTTGTTATTCCACCTAAGCTTCTGGATTGTATTCGTGCATTGATTATATGGTTCTTAAATATTATAAATACTGGATTAACCGTACTGCAGATTAACTAGGCCTGTCTAAAACTAGAAGATTGTTTATTGCTGAACGATGGAAAAGTTACTATCTAAACAATTAAGTTTGAATAAAACTGTATTCTGGAACAAAAAAGAGGAAAAAGAAAGTGCTTAGGATTACTACAATGATAGTACATGATGCCTGCTAGATGAAGTCTGCCAAAAAGAAAAAAAATTCTGATAGACGTTTCTACGTGGATTTGAACTCAATGACATTGTTCAATTGGAAATTTTCCTTTTAAGATTTATCAGTTTGAAAACAGAATGAACATTAATCTACGTGAATGTGTGGAACAAAATAAAATATTATACCCTACTACACACGGTGTTGTTATAACTCCTGCAACATGGCAAGAATTTTCCTCAAAAATATATGAATTTAATCTTGTCTATACGAGTGCCAGCATCATTTGCAATAATGAGTTGGTAGTTTTCAACAAAGAAGGTGAGTGTATTTTTCAACAAGTTTTTAAACAATATGAAAATTCTTTTAAACTAAAACCTACATACCTAAAAGTAAACTATCATATTTTAAAAAAATTGAAAGAAATTATTCCTGATGTGTCTAATACTTTATATAAAAGTATTTTTGAAATTATTTTACCGTTGCAAATCAAATGTAAAAACAATTGTTCGGATGTGGCAAGGGATGATGATGAACCTTTTAAAGAACTCATAAACTCTATCAAAACTGAATTAAATTCAGTCATTAAAAAACTATTTAAATGCGAAGGTTATATTGTAAATCATCCTTCACAAACAAGACATGATTGCATTATAATAAGTGTTGATGACAGAATTAAATATTGGGTGAAGATATATTTTTATGTATTAATTTTAAAAATATAAGAGATTCTTAAGGCAGAAAAAATTGTTCATTTATTTTGTGATAGGTTTTTTGAATCGAAATGTTATGAAGATTATAAAAATGCATTAATATAAGTACAGCTATTCTATTTAAATTTCTGTGTTTGGTTGATGTTCTGACTATTTTTTTTCCTTATGTTTTTAATAGAAATATATTTAAATTTTAGTTTTAATTTTAAAGCAAACATGTATATCAAATGTCAGTAAATGGATATAGCTGTTAATTTGATATTAACTAATGAAAGAAAATTCTAAGTATATTTTATGTATAATACAGAAACTTATTCTTTGGAAATAAATAAATGTATTTAAATAGAAAAGCTTCTTGGTGAAATGAATGTATTTTTATTTTTTATAACAATTTTTTTAAGTATTATGTTTACAATGCAGTATATGCTTCAAGTGATTCACTCGTGTTGAAGATTTAAGAGTTTATGAAGCGATTATTCGCTGAAGTTTTACTTATGTGATATATTTGTGAGGTTTCTTGAATACGAGTAATCTGAAGAGATATTTGAAATCTCATGAAACATCAGATGTAGCGTATGTCCTAAGAAATTTAAGTTTATAGTTTGAGAAATATCGCGAAGCTTCTCGTCTTAGAATTTTGTAGCGAATAATCACAAGTTCTTTTCATGTAAAAAGGATATGAAAACTTATAAAGTTACTTTTAAGAGTAAATCATGGTATAAAATATTTAGTGAGCATGAGAATTTAAAACAATATGAAACTTTACATCGTATTGAATGTTCGGACATTTTTTCAAGTAAGACAGAATTTGAAGAAAATCTCACGAAACATTTTTTAAAATTTTGCCGGTGTCAAAAGAAACAGAAATATGCTGATGATGATGTTTTGAAACAGCATGATACTTCTCTTCTTATAAATTGTATCCATTGTTTACAAGTGTTTAAAAGAAAAAGTTATCTCTTACCCCACATTCGAATGCGACATGGTTTGATGCGAATCTTACAAAAACGAAGAAACGTTGACATCGTTAATACATGCAAGTCTTCTAAAATCGCAAGTGTTAATAGTATGTTCGCAATTGAATCGATATTCTAGAACATAGAAAATGATCATGTCTTAGATGTACTTCTTGAACATATAAAATTGTAGTTAGTAGGGAAAAAATGAGTTATGGTGTAGTGTCACACTGAGTTATGATATCGGTGTTTGAAATGGTAATCAATAGTTACATTTAAAATGTGTCGTGAGTGTGAAAATGGAGAAATAAAAGAGCTTTGGCGAATTTAATAAACGTGGTTCAATGTGGTTGATGGGAAAATTTTTCCATGTGAATTAAATAGTGCAAGATATGAATCTCTTTCTCTCAATAGTTAATTATTCAATTGTAAGACAATTAAACTTTAAATATATATGTATGTAGTACATGTAATGATTAATATTACATTGATTAATGTAAATAACTGATGATATGTGTATTAAGATAGTGAATGTTCCCTTTTATGAAGTTCTAAGCATTACTTTAAATATCATTCATAAAACTTTTATCTCATAGATACAAACATGACAATATCTATTGAGTTTTCATTTGTTCTTTGGAATGTATGAAAGTTTAAATATTTTTTTTTAAATTTAATGTAGATTGGAGTAAAATATCAGTATCTTTCTTCATTTCAATCGGTAATATCTGTATGCTGGTAAAGATACACATGTTCGTAAGAGTTATACTGTGTCACAGCGGGTGTATCGTAGTTTTTAATTCTATTTCATTAAAAGCTGAACTTGTAAAATAAAAATTTTCTATTAGTGTAAGGCAAACAAAAAAAAATCAAGAGCAATCCGTATCATGAATGAAATTCAAGTCTTACATCGGATTAAAAAGAAATATTCTGAATCTAAATGTTTTTGCCTATTTAGCACAAAATGTGTTTATTTGTCTTATAAATTTAACTAAACCCATTCTTATAACAGTATGTTGCCTTTAAACAGGGTAAAAATGTCAAGTATATTTTCTGATGGTATTGATATACTTGCAAAGAAGTTCTAAAAACCTCAAATGTCGAAAGAGCATATGATAAGAGTCTCCTTTCCTTTCGCTACGTCAGTTACAGGTTAAGGGGAGTCTTGAATGGATGAAGGTAATGTTTGTGCAAAAATATAGTGGTTCTATTTTGAAATGAGAAATAATTCGCTTTTTGTCAATTAAGGAAACTTGTAGTATTATCAAACAGAATATCAGTGAAAGACATTGCGTTAGCATAGTGAATTATGAAGGTACTGAAAGGTAGTAAAGAAGGTGAATTAAAGAATTAATTTGAACAAATAAGGTAAGGGTATCATTAAAAGAAAAAAAAACTGTTCAAAAGATGTATGTTAGAATTAAAAGTAAGATGTTAAAATTTAAAAAGATGTAACAGAGTAAAACCAAAGAATACTGGTAATTCCCATCTGGAAAACAGTAATTTGAGTACGATATTGAAAAAGTTGGTTTTAAGAATTTCTTTATGCATGTGATGCAAAACAATTGCTAGTTTATCATGAGTGCTGACATAGATGCAATTAGTGTATGAAAAATAGTAAAATTAGTATAGTCAGTGTCTCTAAAACATGAAAAAATAATAGTGTGAGCAGTGTAAATTCATTTGAAGTACTGAAATATGACATAGACTAAATATCAGAAGATGTAAGAAATATTTTATGTGTGTATGTGTGGATGAAACACTGAACGTGGTTGTAAAATTAGAAATGAAAATTATCAACACACATAAAGGTGATAGAGATTTAAAACTAAATATGATGTTAGAAACTTTGAAGATCGTAAAACTATATGAGAAAGAAATACATTTAGATATAAATGGTATGAAACTGTAAAGTTGTAAATGTAAATTTCTGAGTAAAACCTGTAGATGATCTATTATGATCGGAGAATAAAAGAAGTATTTTAAAAATTGTAAGGAAATAATTGAATATGGAGTAAATGAAAACAATCCATATCGTTAAAATGAATAAAAAGGGATAAAATGTTGGAATTATGAGTGATGAGTTAATTACGAGTTAAACTAGAATTAAGAAATATAAACGCGGAAGGGAAATCATGAACGTAAGAAAAGCAATTAAAAGTTATAGACTTAAGTTTTTTAAAAAATATTCGGTAATGTAAGGAAGATATTGTTGAACATGTTAAAGAAATTAGAAATTCTGTAGAAAATTTAGTAAAAGAACTAAGATCACGAAAAATAAACGTTTCTTTTTAAATAGAATTTCAAACCACTAAGTTAAAGTGTGTATAGAATACTAGAATGGTTTAAAAAAAGTAAATGAAATTAAAATTCAGAATATATTGAACATTATAACGTTAGCAAAAGTGTGAAAATGCATCTAAAATTAAGTAATGTAACAAATAAACAGCATGTACGGGAACGTTTGTGAAATATAGCATATAAGTTAAAAATCAGGGTATGCTGAAATTTATGAAAGGTATGAAAGTGAAGTTTATAAGAAAAAATATGAAAATAAATTTTTTGAATGGGGATTGAAATATTAAAAGACTTAGAATGTAAACAAAAAATAATAATGTTAGTAAAAAGATTTGAAAAAAGTATGTAACAGTATTTAGAAAGGTAATTTAATACAGAAATTTTAAATTATGATTGTTTTAAATTATTGCAGTTTTTTTTTAAATATTCTATCTCTATAATGTAAAAATTGATCAAGTTAATGACTTAAAATGTATTGTGTAAGATATTCCCCCGCTAAACACGAAGTAGAGCGCTTTATCATTACATTTTCAGCTTGTTAAAAAAAATTAAAATAAAAATTCATCGCAAAAACTCCTTCTTGTCGCTGCTACAGCCTACAGTGTAGAAAAAGTCCAGTTTTTAGGAAGATGCTAAAAAATCAGTTTTCAGGGGGAGCTATGTTAAAGGTATAGCTCCCCCTGTGCTGGAACTCTCATTTTCCCACTGCCTTAGCTATGTTAACAAAATTTTATTAGGAAGTGTTTCTGATTGGGGATTGCTTGAGGCATGTAGTATTGTTATATTACTGTATACTTTTGACAGCTTAGGACTGACTACAAGTTGTTTTAAAATTAGATATGCCACTGAAAACCGCTTTATGAGGACTTACTAAGGTCTGTGGTCTTCCATATTTATATTACGTTTTCTACCTTAACAGTTTGAAATCATAAGTATTTTCTGGCATATATTTCGTTTCTAATATTTGTAATCTTATATTTGTGATCAAGATGCCTGCAATGATAATTCAGCATATCTAAAATCTCCTGAACAGGCATGGCTACCTGCTGCAATTCAAATTTGGTTTCATTATTTATATAACAGTTTATTTGTTTATTTATTTATATTTTTTATGGCACTGAATAGTTCGTGAATTTCTTGAAACAAAGCCTGGAAGCAAATAAGCTGTTCATTCAAATCTCTTTTCTGAAAGAACTTAACGTAATATTCTCCGAGAAGCTGTTGCATAACAAAATTCTCCTCTAAAGATCGAATTGCTTTTTTGAACTTTGAACTTGTTGTTTACACTAGCTTTCAGCTGCAGAAGTAGATCATGTGAATAACCTTAAATAACCTCATTTTCGTCTCGAAGGTGTGAAATAGTCATCAATTTCACTGTCGGAGAGTTATCGAAAGTAATTTATTTATTTATCACCACTGAACAGGCTTCTGACCTAATGCGTATACCAAACAGAACAGTGCTTGCTCAGGGGAAAATTAAGCAGAATCCAGCAGTCGCCACCACCGTACGGCTGCGCATATTTTTTTAACAAAATCAGAAAGTACATATAGTAGCAGACAATTTGCATCCATATGCTACATATAATTCAGAGTTATAAGTTGGTACTTAATATAATAAAAACAAAGTTGCCGATTAAATTTTATAAATTCTTAATATAATAAACAAAACAAAAAATAAATAAAATAAAACAAAAATATAACATTGAAATGAATAAATATATGTATATAAAAATGTAAATATAAATAATAAATAATAAATAAATATATAAAAAATAAAAAAAGGTTTATGCAACGATTACTTAGCTAGTTGATGAGTATGAATATCGCTATCGAATGAGTACTTAGCTAGTTGATGATTGTAAATATCTTTCTTTAAAGAATTGTAATATTTTAGTCAGTTTACTAAAAGCTCCCTTAGTTTTTAATAGTTGTGAAATCCATTGTTCCCAGTATTGATCAGGTGGCTTGGCCAAGTGAAAAGGTTTCGTAAAGAAGTTATCAAATTTGGCTACAGTTCCGGCTAGACGAGACTTTTTTGAGAAACGAGATTCCGGAGTCACTGATTTAACCGGGAGGATTCCTAGAAAAAAAGAGCGCCGCCTGAAGCGAATTCCCGCCTAGCTACGAAAACGATGTTGTGGCTACACGGGATTTTTCAAACCTCACCGAAAATGTCTCGGCTGGACTTCTGTCCCGGGTAGAGACAACCAATCAGACGAAAGTTCTGATTCTGAAGCATTACGTGATCCCAATCTGAGCGATAATCGATTAGCGTTTGGCGTTCAAGTCTTTGTATTAAGTGAAAATGGTAACCTAGCTACGTGGGTTTCTTGGAATTGTGCGGGTTCTGAGAATTGTCCCTTTTGACGTCAAGTCCCGCGTAGCCGAAGAATAATGTGATTGGGACATTAGACTACAAGAAAAGGCATAATGAACCGGAGTTCTTTTCTGGCCACATTCACAAGTGTCCAGTTCCATAATACCAAATCGATGGAGATATGTTTTGAAAAGTCCATGGTCTGAACGAAACGTTGTCGATGTAGAAGAAAATGTAAGCATCTTAGTAGAGACATGGGGACAAAAACAAGAAGTCTGTCTTCCCATTGTTGCAATATTCCATCTAGATTGGTGATTTATTAAGTGCTTGTAAGTAATCCTTTTAAGAAAGGAATGAGAGATGTTCCGGCAAGTTCGTGCCAGTTGCTGCTTGCTAGGCAAGTTCATCAGCAAGCTAATTGCCAACTATAACCGTTTTTGCTGAAACCCAGTATAACCGTGGATGAAATTCTGACGTTATGTTGAAAAGTAATTTTTGAATTTCTATGACTAGCGGATTTCTGGAATTTATACCACCAATGGCCTCCATACTAGATAGAGAGTCACTGTATATATGGGCTTGTGTATCGAATCTATAGGAGAGCTAAATCGCTTTCTTTATTGCCGTCGATTCAGCTTGAAATATTGAGTTATGATTACTTTGTTTTCTTTTCCAAGTTTGTTTCGTGATATCATTTAACATGACACTCAGACCACATCCTGTGACTGCTTCAGTATGCGAACCATCTGTGTAAATGGCGATCCCGCGAAATTGTCAACTGAGGCCATCTAGAGAAAATATAAATATCGAGCTCATTATAGGAGAGGTGGCAAAGGTAATCTGAATTTTTTGCCTCGTAGTCCGAGGCTGAAAAGTGAATATTCCATACAGTGATATATTAAAATGTTTAACAAATGGCTGTAGATAAATTATTTGTATTTTTTGCAAGCATTATAACATTTAAGAAAACAAAATAAATGAGTTTCATTTAGCTGTCTAATATTTATTTTTTCAGAAAAATTGTGTCCTAGTTATCTGTATATGGAATCTGTGGGTTGTAAATAGTTCAATATTTTCATTAATTTTTATGCACTGATTAGATATTAAGATATTTAAAAAGTTATGCAATTTCTTTTTTAAACTGTGTAATGATTCCCTAAAACAAATGCTGTAACTTTATTCAATATAATTTTATGAACTAGTATTTCAGTAACAGAAAATCCTTCTTTTTTCGAGAGGGAGAGTATTCAAATATGGCATTAGAAGTGTACTTTGTATGTTAATTTTTTAATACTAGTTTTTCTTCACCCCATTTATTTTCCTGTGTAGTTTCCATGGTGTGTGTGATTCATAACCCTTGATAAGAATAAGCATATATCTCTACATGCTTGTTACCTTAAATTAATCTGCTTCAGTTGGTTCACAAGTTTGAAACATTTGAATCGCACAGAATCGTATGCCTATATTCTCCTCTTTCTCTCTACCTTTTAAACCATAAAACTTGTACCTGATCTAATTTATTTCATTAGATGGTTCATTAAGAACGTTTTAAGTCTCACTTTAAAATTTAGAATATTCGAATTAAAAATTTTCGAAAACGGTTAGTTTTTACGAATTTTGAATTAATACTTTAAATTCATGCAATTGTTATACAATTTTATTTCAACAACAACAACAACGACCAAAAAAAAAAAAAAAAAAAAAAAAAAAAAAAATGCAGTGCGGAGTAAAATTTTCGATATACTATTTCCTTTTATTATAGTCATTTTTAATGAATTTTAAACTCAATATAAAAGTAAGATCATCTACTTACCAGACGTTCCTCTGTATCCCATTACATGGGCAGTGTAGTTGTGATATTCATTATCTATCCAAAACTCATCATAAATAGCGTAAGTTGTGTTGCCTTCCCAGTCAGTTAACGTAATTTTGATTTGATTGCTTCTTTCATTCGTCAAGGCAAAAGTGTTATCATTACCTATTAGAAAAATTGGCATCAAGTAATCCATATTGGATCGAATGCGTTTATTTATAATATGCCCGTCTGTTGAAAATTTTATAACGTAAAAATTTGCTTACTTTTAAATTTCATTGCTACATATTAATTAAGAAAATCAAGACTATATTTTATTGATTGCTTAAAAATAGCATTGTTGAAATTTAGGTTAAAATAGGCTTTCAGGTTAATCAACTCATTTATCTTTGTTCAATAGGGTTCTGTCTTCTTTCTAAAAATAAAAGCAAATAAACTCAAAGCTCTTGAATAGCTTTTGGTGACCATTACTCTGTTACTCTTTCCTACACTTTGAATCTATTTATCAGCTTTAGATTCGTCAAGCCTAATTTGGTTCGCTACTATTAAAGACCAAGACGAAGCTTATTTAGGCTCGCGTGAATTGCATCTCATGTTCAGTTTAGCAGAACGTCTTGTCCTAGATTTTCCGCAGGCTGCGGAGATTGTGTTTTTGTTATATTTCTGTATTTTGGTTTGTGCAATTATTTGGTTTGTATTCGGTTGCCCTGTTATTAAATAGGTTTCATTTTAAATCTTCACTTTGCGTTTGATATTACTCATGTTAGATGGCATCACGGGACGAAAAGTCGACTGATGGTCTTTACATCTGTAACAGTTTGGTATTTTAAAGCAGTAGGAAATGGTATAGATTACTAATAATTTTTGTCACCACATTGGCTGCATACCTGACGATTTCGCAACAACTTGATGACATTTTAGAAGTTTCCGAAGAACACATTTTTGAAGCCATAGCAGATACTTCCTTTAAAATATACTGCTTACCAAATGGCCGCGAATAAAACCTTCAGATATACGATATTGTCAGCAGATATTCTGCCGAATCCCAGCTCCAGCAAGGACATTATAATTAAAATTCTAAGCACCCGTTATAGCCTAGATGATTGACAGAAAGATTTTCTGCTGCACCAGAACATCAGATTTTAAGTAAATAATATCAGCACCTCATTAATCGAATGCATAAAGAATACTAACCGAAACATAGCAGCCTTTGCGAATTATAATCGCAGCTGTTGCTTATTTTGCATCACTTATCCATACAGAATGACTGCACGTAGCTGCAAATGACTTTTTTACGTGCACCTAGTTCTGCGTGATTTTGTACAGGAACATCTCGCATAGTGCTACTTCACTCTGTGCTGACCCGCTATAGTTTGGTTAGTAATTTGAGTAATAAATTTAACTCAGTACTGATGATTCACTATTGAGCGGTTCGCAAGATTTCAGCTCGAATCATTTGCAGAGAATTGCAGATAATAGGAACGCATAGTCGGGTACCTGTGAGAAAACCAGTCAGTTTTGCCCGACATGCAAGAATTATTTTGCAGGGATATCGGGAAAGAAGACACTGGACATCTGAGGATTGGAAACGGTAATGTGGTCGGATGAATCACGCTACACCTTATTTTGCCCTGATGGAAGATGTCGAATTTGGCGAAAACCAAATGAAACCATGAATCCATCTTGCCTTACTTGCACTGTGCAAGGGTCTGGTGGGAGTATCATGATATGGGGCATGTTCTGCTGGCACAAAGTGGTGCTCTGGTGCTCCTCGACAGTAAACAAACAGCAATGAGATACCTAGATATACTGGTAGACGAAGTGCACCCTACGATCTTGCATTTTTACCCTGATGGCGACGAATACTTCATAGACTATAATGCAACTATACATTGTGCCGGAAGGGTTAAAATTGGTTCGTTGAACATCAGTCTGATTTACAACACCTTCCCTGGCCGCCGCATAGCTCGGATCTTAACCCCATAGAAAATGTTTGGGATTACAAGATCTAAAAAGCTGCATAGCCAATCCATGGCATTCTCTGGACGTAAGTTACACTACGGAACAATGTAGACTCGATGTCAAACGAATCAGAGTAGTTATCCGTGCAAAAGGTCGTCCAATGAAACATTGATCTTTGGTTTCTAATTCATTGGCCAGTGTGTGTAATAATACTGAGCGAGGTATTCCTGTGCATTTACACCCTGTTTGTTATTTAATTTGTACTTATTATGGAGCTTTCATCTGCGTATATATTCATTGTTGATATTGCACTTTTATGTAAATTGCTTAGCATTTATTTTTCTTTGGTAGCTTATATGGTCTCTTCCCCCTTTGCTACTCATTCTTACAATGTGTATATTTTACTTGCTATCTGTAGTAATTATCCCTCACTGTTATACCTCATGGTTGTATATCCACGTCCATGAATGTTTTTTCCTTTCCCGTGACATTATTCAATCTTAAGATATTTTTGTTTCTTATGTTTCTGTCTCTGATTACTAGCCTGCTAGTTGGTTAATTAAGCTATTTGTTTACAAAGTAAGGAGGAAAGCTGTCCTTTTTAGCGGCAACGATGCTTTCAGAACAGCTAGGAAAAGCTATAAATATGCAGGGCTAAAGGGCTAGTTCATCAGCTTCTCGCGGCTGAAACCGAAAGAAGAGACTGATGACGTAGTTGGGTTCGCTTGCTCAGTTCTGCTGTTCAGTTTCTTAAGCAGTTGCTTGAGAGTCAAAACGCTTTGAAGAATAGTTTAATAACCAATATGAGCCGAGATTTTAGCTCATGAAATTGCAATATACACATGCATCTATTTATGAACTAGTAATGTATTTACGTCATACTAAATTAAACTCTAATATGCGTAAAACGTAAGTAAAACATGCATAAACATAACTAATTTTTTAATTAACACATATGCGTAAACATAACTAATTTTTTAGGTCGAGTATACCCTAAATATAGAACTCTTTTTCGTAATCATATTTTTAAATATATGTAAATAGTAACCCATCGATAACACGTAAATTTCTACATTTACGAAGAATTCTTTTTGCGTTAAAATATCAGTTAGTCTCAAATGAGAATACATGCTAAAGACTTTACACATCTATCTGATTAAAAATTACTTAATGCTAATAATAGATTTCATAACACATTAAAACGAAACAAATTTCACTTCTTTCATTTTTGATTATCAATTAACGTTGATAATGAGAAGTAGAATTTTGTAAGCTTTCGCAACGACTATTATGAAAGCATAATTATGGAACATCAGCATTATTATTTAACGTCAATTACTCAAAAAATAATTAAAATATTTTTAAGTAGTATTTATATATTTTGTAATAATAGCATATATTCTTACATTTTAAAAGTATATATTCTGATACTAATTTATGTTTATGCAGAATTTCATGGTTTATTTTATATAGTAAAAGTTAGCAGTCTAAATTAGTATATAATAATATATAATATTTTATATAGTAGTCCAAATAATTAGCTGAAACGTGCATAAATTAGGTCACAAATTAAGTGAATAATAAACCAAGTAATGATTCAAATTATTATTTTTGGTAGGAATAATATGAATCAACTTACATGATTTTGTTTTCCTATGTAGTTTGGTTCGATAATCCTCTGTTAGTTTTCATCCATTTATTTGCTTTCTGGTCAGCTTTTCTTGCCGATACACGGGTTGCATTCCTATTCAAGTGCCGAACTCTTATAAATGTTCGTAAACGGCAAAATAAACGAATTGCACTCTTATTCACGGAGGGAAAACGTTTCTCAAGTTCAGAAATAAGATTCTGAATTACACCTCTACCTTTTCAGAAAGAACTGCCATGGAAAGAACGGAAAACATTTTCTATTTTCATCATCGTTTCCATCCAAACTGGTGATGGTGCAGTTAATTCTCCTTTAGATAATAAAAATATCCAATTTGAGTCGTTAGGAATATCTACGAATTTTTTTGATATTTCACCCAAAGTAAGATGCAATATAACCTGCCACATAAGTGAGCGATTCTTGTTCATATGCAGATATATCTCTCGTTGAATCATAAATTTCGGTTTCCCAAGGAAGTGACGTACATTCATCATAGATGTCTTCGTAATTAATTAAATAATCTTCGTATAAGGAAGACTCAAACATTTGTGTTTTTTCATTTGAAGAAAAAGCTGTTTCTAACAGCTCTTTTGTCAAATATGCTTCAACTTTCTTCACATCTAAACAAGCTTTCTAATACATCTTGAGTCAGTCTTAAAATATCTTAAAATATATTTCACATTTATAGATTTTACGTCATCAAATAAACCGAAAAGCGAATTTATCGATATGATAATACTTTTCTGGAAATTGTCTTCTTTCCGCATACTCTGAGATCAAAAATCGTTTGCTTGATCGCATTTAATTTTTCTTTTTGTACTTCATAATAGCTTTCAAGGCAGAAAACAGCTTTTAAAGGCTTATTGCTAGGGGGTAATGGTACACTACTATTCATAATGTCAAAAAAAAATCATCAACCATTGAAAAAAAATTACTTGTTGCAAGCATTACCAGTCAAATGCATAATTGCTTTAGCCGTTGTGGAGGAAAATAATGCTTTTGCTGGTGCTACTTTCTGTCTCTCGTTTCCTTTTACAGATAAAAATTGAGGTTTCAGTTTATAGCACAGTTTAATTTCTCCTGATATCTTTATTGAGTACTTCATATATAACGTCTTTGTTTATAATTGTACCATTTCCGAGAATAAAACCTTTATCAAGAAAATGGTTTCTCAAAAGCTTTATGCAATGCGGCATATCAGCGAAAACCCATATTTTGGTACTGAACTTGGGAATGTAAAAGAAAGATTTAACTGTTGAAATTTGTAATTCTTTCCAAAGGGTCTGACTACCTCCCATGTCAGATACACTTACTTTGACTCGAAGCCCAGACGATACAAGTGCAAACAAAATGGAAGACAGAAGATTTTCCTTCATTTGACGATCAAAATCAAAATAAATGGGCTGTTTCCATTGCAAAATGAGTCCTCGAACCAATACAAATTGAATCTTTTTAAAAGGACCTAATATCTGATCTAATTTTGAATCATAACAGAATCTTGTATCTATATGAATTTCATCGAAACTTAATACGCATAATCTTTCTTCGTCAGTTG